AGCTGTTTATTTTCTATAGTAATCAGAGAATAAGTATATATGTGTGTATATATGCCTGCCTCTATGACCCATATTCAGAAATCTACTCATTTGCATATAGGCACATCTGCTTCTGTAATTTTCTTTTTTGAACTACAGGTTTCTTTTCTATTCTAAATATAATATATGGGCTGGTAGAAAATGTGTAGAGGAAATAAAAAGTAAAAATACAAGTAAAAGAAGAAAATAAATCATTCACAATCCAGAAATAACCAGTATTAACATTTTGGTGTATTTCTTGTGAATAGTTTTCCTGCAGGTATTTATATGATTTTAAAAACACAGAAGAATAAGATGTTTCTACATCTATGTATCCTACTTTATTGCCTTAATATATATTTAGTATTTTGGTATTCCTTTGAATATTGCTCCCAAACATTGAAAAAAATTATTTCATGGTATCTGTTTACAGATGTACCAAAATTGATTTAACCATTCCTCCTTTATTGTTGGGACACTCCATTTATTTGCTGTAAATAATATTTCAATAAACATCCTTGCATAACTGAATGCATCTCTGATTATTTTCTTAGGCTGATTCTAGAAGTGGAATAACTGGGTCATTTTTAAGCCATATATATATATTTCCAGAGCACTTTATCTACAGCCCTTCTTTTATTCATAAGTAATTGTTACCTTCGCTCCCATTGCATTCCATTTATTTCTTGCTGTACTTAACCCTTTCTACACTGAATTTGCATTCAGCATCTGCAAGCTTAGTTCCCCTACTAAGAGACCATCTCTGACCATCTTCATATCTCCCTCAGCATCCAGCACAGGTAGATAAAGGGGGCAGAGGACCAAGTCTATTTAGGTGACTCTGTAAGCAAGAGGAACTCGGTTTGGGGAAGGAACATGGCGAGTGGCTTGAAGTCCATACTTAGGGGTAGGGTTGCAACACTTGTTGAAGAGGGAGCAAGGCATTTTCCTCAACCTTTCATGCATCCAGACTCTGAGAGCTGGGGAAAGATGGAAAACTAGTCAAGTCTAGAGCCTGGGAGAGGAGCAGCTACAGCTCCCTGGCAGGGCACGATGAAGTGTAGAAGCTTGGAGGCCACAGCTTCAGGCTGTAGGAGAGGGGTAGTTTCAGGCATTCACCTGGTAGAGGCAACTTGCTTTGAATACTGTGTGTCAGTTTTTTACACCCAATTGTCCCACCACTAACCATCCCACTCTCATAGGTTTTGACCCAGGGAAACACCTGCGGCACTGATGATACAGGCTTAAATTAATGTTTTTTAGATTGGAGTTTCCCAAACTTCAGTTGAACCCTGTTTGTGATTTCAATGTTTTAACGAAAAGAAAGCAGCAGTAGGTACAGACACATATACCCGTGATTTATGTCATCCAAACCAGCCACACTTCTGAACAGTAAAGACAGATACAATTTTAAAACATTCAGGGTGTGCCCACGTCATTCGCAAGGTCTGCATAAGGTGTTAAAACATCTGTGCCACTTCCTTTAGCCTTGTCCTAAGCAATAAAATTTTTGAAATCACAGGTGTGATGGATTAGTTATGCTTTTTATAACACACACTAAAACTATAAAGATTATTGTTACAATAAAAAAATTATCAGCCATTGGTAATACTTTTACTACCTATTGGTGATAATTGTACCATAGTTTTGGGAAACACTATTTTAACTAAACAGATTTTTTTATATTATTGTTAATTGTCTATATTTCTTCCACTTAATTATAAGCCTTTTAAGGTCAGGTATCATGGTTTATTTGGTACTTAGTACAGTATTAAAGCTCAATAAATAGTTGTTATTTCTTTGTTTTGTTTTGGTGATGGGATAGTGATCAACAGGAGTTAATCATTGTACTTAACATAAATGAAGTCTCCAAGATCAGGATTATAGAGCTCGCTTGGGCAGCACATGTACTAAAATTGGAAAGATACAGAGAAGATTAGCATGGCCCCTCCCTGCACAAGGGTGACATGCAAATTTGTGAAGCGTTCCATATTTTGGGATTAAGAAATACAAATTGGTAGTTACAAAATAGTCATTAGGATGTAAAGCACAACATAGGAAATATAGTTAATAATATTGTAATAACTATGTATAATGCCATGTAGGTACTACATTTATCGGGGGATCACTTCATAAATTATTGGGTTGTCGGAAAAGTCATGACGTATTTTTTCTATGTTTTTGTTGCAAAAATGTGTCATGATTTTTCTGACAACCCACTATATAAATGTCTCACCACTATGCTTTATACTTCAAACTATATAATATTGAACGTCAACTGTAACTGAAAAATAAAAATTTTTAAAGATCATGGCTATAAAGGAGAGAATAATTATATGGTAAAGAAAGATGCCCTGTTTTAAATACTGTACCATCATTATTTAGACTTGGGCTTTAAGGTGTTCAGGATGGAAAACAGTAAATCACTAACACATTTTCTATCTGTTCTTTTTGAAATAAATAACACATTTACAAGTTTAAGAATTTGTCTTAGGGCTCTAAAACAGAGCAACATTATTTAGCTCATGCAGAAATTCAACCCACTATAATGACCTCATGAACTAAGATAATTTTTCCATACCTAGCAAGTAGAGAATGAAATATATAGTCATTGACTAATAACTATTAGCTGAATGAATGGATGAAATGACTTAGCTAAAGTCAACAGATCTTTACCACCCCTGGGAAACCATCAAAAGCAACAACAACAACAACAACAAAACCCAGAGGAACTAAAATATATTCAGTACATAATATTCTAGGGTCTTTATATATGTTTTTCCTCTGGATTTCATAGCAGCTGCCACATAAATAAAAGGTAAAATCATGCTACTAGGGAACAGACATCTCTACCTGTCCTTAACAAAAGCTCACCCTCTTTTCAGAAGACCACAGTGACTCAGTTTTCAAAGAAAACTAAGCTGGAGGGGAAGTTTTGGAACCTAACTGATAACTTTTGGACCAACCAAATATATAAATGACCAAAGGGAAGTATAAATAAAATATACAATAAAAGATTATATTCAGAGAGAGAGAATAACTCTAATGAAGAAGAGAAAGGTACCCCAACACGTTAGTTACATGCTAGAGATGGAGATCAAGCCTGGCCAGTGATTTCCTCCTCCTTGGTCCTACCGTCCTCTTCTTTCTGAACCTTTCTTTCAAATGCAGAGTCCTTAGCTTGTAACTCAGCATAGTTTAGTCCATCAGCATATAAGAAACTTGTTCTTCAGAGACTAAAAATGAGCAATACTGTTTCCTTAGCTACTATGGATCCAATGGAAGCAAGAACTAGATAAAATGAAAAGAGAATACACCCCACCATCAGAAGACCTGGGGTGGAGTCCTGATTCTGTCATGTTCTGATTGAGTGACCTTATGCTTATGAGCGATCCCTCTAACTCATGGTTTCCTTAACTCATTCATTTAACAAATATTTTCTGAGCAGTTACTGTGTACCAAGCCCTTCCCAAGGCCCTAGAGATACAGCAATGACTAAAACAGAGGCTATCCTACTCTAATGGCAGTTACGTTCTAGTGATATTACGATAAGTAATCAATAAACAATGTAACTTCAAAAAGTGAGCAGTGCTATGGAAGAAAAAAAACAAATGATAAGGACAAATTGGGAGGAGGTTCTCCCTGAGGTAATAATATTTAAGCCAAGACTTGAAGCTGCTAGAAGGAGCCAGCCAAGGTAAGAGGACTCCAGGCAGAGGGACCAGCAAACCCTGAGGTGGGCCCATGTTTGGGGCTGGATGACAATCAAGGAAAATGACACTGGTATGCGGTTGACAAGATCAACGGTTTTTTGTTTGTTTGTTTGTTTGTTTTTAGCTGAGCCATCCTGCTACCTGTTGGCAGCTCAGCGGCTGCTCAGCTCGGGCTGGACTCGAACCGCTGTTGCTCAGAGCTCAAACTCTTGAGCGAGCTCTTAACCAACTGAGCCACTCGGCCGGCCCCAAGATCAATGGTTTTGACATGGCACTCTAAGAATGCTAGAACTTCCCTGGTTGTGTCTCAGGGGTGAAGCAGCAGAGGACGGGGGCTCTACCGGGCTCCCACCACTCTGCCCAACACACACACACACACACACACACACACACACACACACACACACACACACGGTAGCTTGTCTTTCATCTGAAGCATATACTGGTATACTGGGGTGCTGCCTAAGGTTTTTCTTGAAGAACATACATATGCTAATAGTCTTGATCTCAAAAGTCCTTCCGCAGTCTAATTGTCAGACACTATGGGAATGTATCACACAACCTCTGTGATAGAGGGTTGACTCAATTCTATTCAGTAGGCAGAGTTGGGGAGTGTGATTCCCGAGACCGGACTCCTCCTCTGCTCCCTCCTCTCTGGTGGTGGACTGGAACCCCTGATGCCCTGAAATCTATCCCGGGTTCTGCCTCCTCCTGGTATATTATAGTGACTTTCTTTTCTTGCATAGTCCGAATGAGACACTGTCCTACACAGCACAGCTTTGTGGCAAGAGCCAAGGAACGGCTCCAGTTTTTTCCAACCTATAAAATGCAAAGTTGGCCAGCTGTCTTTCTTCCTAACCCCAAAACTCATATCTTTCCTTGTTTCCAGAGACATGCCCCGCAGCTCTCAAATAAGTCTCTACTGTCCTGGGGTTTGGGGGAAAGCACTACACAGAATGTGAAATCATTTTCTAGTAATACGAATCTATTTAGATCTTTGACTGACAAGAGGAAGCAGAGGCCAAAAGAGATCGAAACAATGCATTTCTCACATATTTGAAAACAGTGAAGAACCAGGCAGGGAAACAGCGAGAAAGAGGATAAAGAGGGAAAGCCTAGGGAGCATTTGGAAAAGTGGGGTGAGTAAGAAAGAAAATGGGGGTAGGAGTGGGGAGGGGAATATTAAGTGACCAACACATTAATCCTTTCTTCCCCCAACTTCATTTTTCCTCCCTGTCTCCACTCTCCTCAGTCCCAGAGAGAACTTACTTGAAGGTCGATGATTTCTCTTTCTGATTCCATGTTGCTGCCTTTAAGTGCCTTCACACGCAGCGGGTGCCAGTAGCCGACTGCGTGGGCTACTCCAGGCTTTGCTGTCTGAATCTCTACTGCTTTCTTTGGGTGGGAGAGAGCACACAGCTGGCGGGACAGACCTGCTATTCATCCATCTGATGTGGGATGTCCGTCTTGGCCTCAGCCCCTGGGGAAAGTGTGCACATGCATACACGTGCAAGAGTGTGTGTGTGTGTGTGTGTGTGTGTGTGTGTGTGTGCGCGCGCGCGCGCGCATGTATGTATGTGTGCACGAGCGCTCCAAGGATGGCATGTGGCACATTGATAGGTGGCCTTTTGAGTTGGTTGTGACACCATCATTTTCTCCAGTGTCCCCAATGCCCCTCTAGTTCCAGAGGAGCCATCTGAGGTCACTCAGCCTGCTTTGAGCTACTAGCTTTACTACTGGTACAGAAACTGCGGATACTGCCTGACTTCACTTTGGTGGAGCTGAGAGGGCTCCCAGTCACCAAGGATTGGGTGGCTTCCAGCTTATTCCCAAGATTGAGGCTTAGGGACTTCTGTTGTTCTTTCCTATGTTCCCTCTATCCCTAAAATTTTTTAAAATTGTGGTTTACCTAATAGGCCCCAAAGCATAAGCCTTATTCTATAATATAAAGTGAGTAAACAACACATTGTTATTGACAGGTTGTTTGATGCCCTCATTTTTTCCATTGATTCGCCAGAAAGAGAACAGGAAAAAGTTATACCTTTGAATTGTGTTTATGCAAGTAGTTGCAATTTCCCTGCTTTTAAAATAAAGCTACCAGGACTGAGTCTTTTTGGGGGAAGATTTTCTTTCTGTTGTTTACCTTAGAGCCTAAAACTCTTCTGGCTTGTTCCTGAAGCTGATTTTAGACACTAGCTTGTGTCTGAGTGGGTGTGGGTATGTCTGTGAGTGCACGAGGCAGGTGGTGTTAAAGAGGAATCTCTAATTCAGAGTTTAAATGGGGTGAGGGGAGTAACAGAGTCACAAATTTATCCTCACCATGTTCAGATGTGAAAAATGGACAATTTCTTGGGCCGGCTGAGTGGCGCAATGGTTAAGAGCTGGCTTGGGACGCTAGAGGGCCCCGGTTCGGATCCCACATATTGAGGGCCAGTGACACTGCCCTCCACAGCTAAGATGCTGAACAACAGCTCAACCTGGAGCTGGGTTGCCAACTTGGGCCAGTGAAGCAACGTCCTCCACAACTAGACTGAAGAACAAAAAGACAGCAACTTGTCTGTTCCCCTTCCCCCCAATTCCCAGCACTGTTCCCATCCCCCCAATTCCCCAATAAAAATCTTTAAAAAAAAGAGAGAACAATTTCATTATATCTATTAGGTGATCTAGTGTTTTCCTAAGTCTATACCCTGCTGGACAAGTGGTGGGAGGAGGGATGGAAAACGGGATGAGGATTATTTTTCAGACTAACCTAACAAGCACAGTTGAATTTAATTTAAATGGTCAACAGTTCACTTTTTTAAAAAAAGATTTTATTGAAGAATTGGGGGAGGGGAACAGCGTTGGGGAATTGGGGAAGGGAACAGACAAGTTGCTGTCGTTTTTGTTCTTCAGTCTAATTGTGGAGGATGTCGCTTCACTGGCCCATATTGGTATTATCATTGCGCTCTTCCCAGGTGAGGCATTCAGTCCCCAGCCATTGGACGGCCACTCAGGGTAGCTCACGGCAGCCCACTGCAGCCCCACTGCAGCCTATGCCATCAACTCATGGCAGCCCAGCTCCAGGTCGACCTGTTGTTCACCATCTTTGCTGTAGAGGGCACAGCGTCACTGGCCAATGTGGGAACCGAACCTACAGCCCTGCTGCTGCTGAGAGCTCACGCTCCCAAGCCAACTCTTTTTTTTTTTAAAGCTTTTTAATTGGGAAATTGGGGGAGGGGAACAGTGTCGGGGAATTGGGGAAGGGAACCAGCCAAGTTGTTGTTCTTCAATCTTCGTTGTGGAGGACGCCAGTTGCCATCTGGCTGCCCGTCAGAAACTCATCAGCCTTAGTTGCAGGCGGGCGTAGCCCACCATCAAACAGGCAATCTTGTTATACCACCTGAGCCATCCTGCCACCTGTTGGCAGCTCAGTAGCCACTCAGCTCAGGTGCAGTGTCATTGGCCCATGTGGGAATCGAACCAGCAGCCCTGTTGCTCTGAGCTCGTGCTCTTAAGTCAGCTCTTAACCAACTGAGGCACTCAGCCAGCCCAACAGTTCAGTTTTGATAGACTGCTCAGTCTTTCAGATTTCTACCCATCTCCCCCAAAGATGGCATGTAGGCATATAGGAGAAGGGTGTGGTTTCTGTATGCCTCGTGCTGGAGAGGTGGTGGCTCTGGGATGTACTCTGTGGCCTGTTCATCTCTGCTAGTTTCTGCTATGGAGCTGTTGGACAGGGCTGGGCTACCCCCTGAATTGGTGAGTGCCCAGGAGAGACTCAGCCTGCTCCTGGGCCTCCTGCTGGCATTAGTCGCTAATGTCTATGGCCAGGAAAATTCATGATACATTCTCTGTCTGTTCTTAAGGACTCAGGGGGCTCCCTTGTTGACTCTGCCTTATCTTGGCTTTCATTGTGATGGGGACCATCCTGAGAGCTGCTGTAATTCTTATTCGCTCCCATCCCGGTGGTACCAACTCAGTGGTCCTCTCCTCTAAAATAACCCCCTCTGAAAACTCTCCCACTAGACCCTCTGCTGAAGCTCCTGTTCCCCCTCGGGTACGTGGGGACTGAGAGCTGCTGATAGTCCTGGAGAAAGGCAAGCTCAGCCCCCTTCTTGTAAAGAATTGGCTTTGATGTGGCTGCTCCAGGTTAGTGTAGGGGCAGACTTTGAGGCGATCTTCTTCCAGACTCCAAAATTAGTGAGCGATATAGAGTCCACTCTTCTCAGCATTCCTTCAAAATCTAGCAGTAATATCCACCACTTCCACACACCCCCGTTACAATATCATGACATGCCAAGCACTATTCTAAGCTCTTTAGTACACACTCACTCACTTAGTTCTCATAACTCTGCAAGATAGGCAGTACTATTATTACTATAATACTATTATTATTACCTAGGTGATTCATCTGCTTTACAGATCAGGAAACAGAAACACAACTTAACGTTGTTCAGGCAATCTGATTCAGAGTCCATGCTCTTATCCACAATTTTGGCTCAGATAGGAGAGACTGAGACACTTGTCTAAATACACACTCTCTCTTCCTCTGCTTTCCTTCTTCCTGTAATCCCCACAATCTAGGATCAGAAAAGGTGGGCTTTGTCTTCTTTGTCTTTATGTTCGGTTTGGATATACTTTGTATGGAACGCTATGATAATAATTCAAAGAGGGAATAAAGAAATTTAGAAAATCCCCATTCTCAAAAAAACCTATCAAAAACAATTGTCTTGGTGGAAAACCTTATTTTGGATGTCAGAAGGGAAGTATTGACTATTTCTTTCTTTTTGTATCCCTGTTGTGACAATCCTGATCATCCTTTAGATAATATGAATGCATCTGACAGACTAGAGGGGAAATCAGAACCAAAAAATGCAAATGAGAAAAGTGCCTGCATATATATGCATATATATTCCCAATTAAGAAGGACATAGGTTTTAAAAGGGAAAAGCTATAATTGGCTATAATAATGGTTTGGGTTTGGCAAGATCTTCCTGGATTTGGACCTTTCCCCACCTCATAAGCATCACTTGGAAGTAAACAGCAAGCGGGATTTGGTTTATCTACTGTGACTCTGGACCAGAGGTCAGCATGCTTTCTCTGTAAAGGACTAGAGAGTAAATATTTTTTAGCTTTGTGAGCCATATGGTTTCTGTCGCAACAACTGTACTCAGCTCTGCTATCGTAGCGTGAAAGCTGCTGTAGACAAGATGTAAACAAATGAGTGTGGCTATGTTCCAATTACACTTTATTTACCAAAAGAGTGGGCCAGCTTTGGCCCCACAGGTCATAGTCTGCTGATTTTTGTTCTAGAATATAAGCAGAAAGAGAATCTGGAGTTCTAATTATCACAAGCATGTCCAGTCTTCCAGACCACTTCTTTCAAGTCTAATTCCTACTTGAGAGGTAATAGCTGAGCCCCCTACTGTAAGGATACTATGCTAAACCCCATGAGGATATAAAATCACAAAATACATGCCCTTGTGAGATACACACGCGGAAAGTTAGGCTATAGTGAAGGGTGCTTTTGACATTTGGCTGTGAGACTGAAAGTATACCTACAAGGAGGCGACTCAGCCTAGATGGGAAAGGTTCCTGTTTCTCTTTACGGCTAGAGTGACTTTTGCAGTGGGAAGCCCAGTTTTAGGGAAGCTGCCTGTTGGAAAGAATTTTTTAGAACATGCTTGAACGTACAGATAAGTAAACACTCAGAGCCACTCAGAAAGTGGTCATGGAATTGGGGCCTACAAAGAGACCCTAGGGGTGTCTTACTATATAGGAGGCGCACAGAGTTGTAGGGTATTAAGAAGCCAGTAATGAGATGTCTGAATGTTGAATAATAAGAAAAACCCTGTGGTGGAAACCAGGCATCCTCTGTGTGTGCTGAATCACTGTGTTTCTTAGGCAAGTCACTGAATTTCCCTGAGTCTTATATGCTTTTTCGTTAAAAGTGAAGCTGTCAAAAAAGATGATTCCTAAGGTTCCTTGAGCTCTTAAATTCTATTTCTAATGTGTATTTATATAAAACACTTCCTGTGTAACAGATCCAAGCCTGAATTTTAGTATGCAAAAGTGAAGGATCCATAATGGAATATTTATGTAATTAGAAACTTTTTAGGGAAAACTACCCCTATCTGTTCCTCTGCTAGTGAAGATGGAGCAGGGCAGACACACGATGGACAAGACACTGAAGGAAGATAAAGGCATGTTTCAGAAAATGCTTCCGAACTCATTTATGCTCACTTAAACATTCATTCAATCAATCTCTCTGATACAGACATCCTATGGCCAGGATGAATGGGAAAGGGAAACTTTTGTGGGAGTCTATGGAGGGAGCCACCCGTACAAGACCTGATGAGGGGTCCAGGCTGACTAAATGGATAATTAAGAATTAGATTGGGTGACTCTAGCACTGTCTAATAGAACTTTCTGCAATGATGAAAATGTTAAAAAACATTTCTATCTTCAATGTTTTAGTGT